GAATCTAATAGAAGAGAAAGTGGGAAAGAACCCTCAACTCATTGACTCTGGAGGAAATTTTATAAACAGAACTCTAATGGCTCTAAGATCATGAATTGATAAATGGGACTAAATGAAACTGGAAAGCTTCTGTAAGGCAAAGAGCATAGTCATTTGTACAACTTGGTAACTTACAGATTTGTAAAATATGTCAACTAACCCCACATTCTTTAGAGGGCTTATATCCAAAATATATAAAGAACTCAAGAAGCTAACTTCCAAAAAAGTAAACAACCCAGTCAAAACAAAAAAGGGGGGGGAGTATAGAGATATACAGAGAATTCTCAAAACAGGAATCTTGAATGGCCAAGAAGCACTTAAAGAAATATTCAAAGACTGAGACACAATCCATCTTCTTAAATTCATTCTCTCATGAGTTTTTCATAGGCAGAAGAAAAGTAAAACTCTATATTGTCACTCTGTTATGGTTAATGTGCTTTACCACTTATCTGGATGAGAAGTATATTGGTTTCAGTAAATTCCTTCTTAACTGCAAATGTAGCTGCTAGGCATGGATGCTCTCCTTTGGACTCTATGAGTACTGCATATATGTCTATAATTAAATAAGAAATCCACAAATTCTAATGTTTTAGATTATCTACCTATAATGTCATGTACTCAGAAAACCTCTGGAAAACAATGGACACTTATATGACTGTTTCTCAGTGTCAATAACAATATAATTCCGTATTTTCCTTTGTTCCTCTACAGTTTATTTTATGCAACAGATAAAGTGTTTCAAAGACATTATACTCTTTCCACAACACTTTGAAAGTGAATACCATCACTTGTACCATACATTGCATACTTCATACTTGGCTCCCATTTACTCCGTGAAACTGAGTTTCCCCTGCAATTGAACAGAATGTTATTTAGGACTTCAAGACAAAAGTCAGATGGTTTCTATTTCTTGAATGACTGACTGAAGTTTTCTTCACAGTTCATGGAATTTCTACAATTTTAGGACTCCAGTGTGAAATGTATGAAGCAAAACTGAAAGTTTAACTGTGATATGTCTATAAGTTGCAGACTTCCTCTGTACCTAACATTAAAAGTCATCACACACCCTCCCTCCCTCCACTACAGACATGATCATGTTAGTAAATTAAGTATTATCATGAGGAAATTCTGCTTGCTATTGCTGAACATCTTGTGATTGATTTGGAAGCAAAAGACCATTATTTTAATACATCATGATCTGTGATATCTATAGATTTATGCCTGTTTATATCCTGAAAGAGATCATAGGAAATTACATCACCACTTTAAAAATATATTCAGTTAAAATGTTTTCAAGATTTCACAGTGTTTTTATATATTTTATCCAATCAAAGAGGATCTAGTCTTCTGGATAAATGGCTGTTGCTAAAGCACAGACTTGCCACTGGGAATCACTCAGTAAATAGTATTAAACTTTTCAATAGCCATAAACAAGGTTTATTCAAAAGAGTTAAATAAAATGAAACATTCAGGAGAGAGCATACAGAGACACAAAAGTGCTCATTAGGTCTAGAATGTTACAGATAGCCTGAGCCTCCAAGGAGCATCTATAGGAGAAATACATTCTTTGAGTATGTTGCACTTCCTGTTTATACCTGTGCAGGGTGATAACCATGAAGATGCTTATTGTAGTTGTAAACACTATTAAATTATTTGTTCTGAATATGACTGGGCCAGTGCCCTAATAATTGAGACAGGAGTCCTATTTAATTGGCTAAGCACAATTACTGAATAATTACCCCAAATCTACTTTTTTTATATGTAAAAAGATATTTAGATCCCAGCTGCTCTCCCTAAGTTATTTACTGTTTCCCAGGCTAATTCTAGTCCATTAGTCTGTCCTCAGGATGTACTTCTTCTGGTTCATTTCATCTGGTGGAGACCTCCTGTTCTCATTTTCTCCTTTTTTTTACTCTTCTCACTCCAGCATGCTTCCTACTTGTGACACACCAGCTGAACAACTGTTTACCTCTATTCTACCTAGGAATTGGCAGTAGTCATTTTCATTTAACAAATAAGTTTGTACTGAGAAGCAAGGTTTACACAACAATGGCAGATGTACATAGAAATTCATTCATCTTGGGACAACCAGGTCATGGGGTTCCTGATTTAGCATTTGTATACAGAGTACCAGACCAACCCCCAACAGATGCTGAAACAGAACCTAAGCCCCACACACAGAAAGTCGTAGGCTACTATCAGTAGTACATATATTAAATACCTGACATATACTGGGGGATTGGTTTAATATACCCGTAATCTTCATTGTTGGTATGACTACCATCTCCTCATTTTCCAGTTATAGACAGGGGAACCATGATATTGACCATCATGTTCCAGACATAACAAAGGAGCCTTGAGCCACCCACATACTTGAAAGATTTCACCATAAACTATGCCAACAGAAAGGCATGGTGATGACAAGAAAAGGCAGTTGCAGCCAGTGAGCATACCACTTATCAATTTCTCAAGATAGAAATTTAATTTATGTCCAAAACTTATAAGAAAATCTCTGAACTCCAAATATGACATCACTTCATGTATTTCTTTGGAGAGAATGACTAAGATTCTGACTATGTTCCTGTGGGTGAGAACCCTGTCTATGTACTTAAGCACACATTTTGTTAAATAAAGGAAGAGGGAATGCCAGTGAAGAAAAAAATATTCTCTAGAATTCCTATGGGTATCTCAGTTAGAAGATAAATAAGTTTCCCTCTGTAGGGAACTAAAGATATTCATAACTCACTACCACATCATCACATGTCAGACCTCAGGATTCCCTGCTTGCTCTCTTTCTGAGATCTTGGTTTCCTCTCAGGATTAAGAATTACCTGATTTTAACAGTAACCTCTTAATAGAGAAGAATATTAAATTGGCCCTTGTTTTCTATCATTGCTGTCTGTGGCAAACAATTCTCAGCAAAGGATTTTGATTCTCAAGGCTCTGTGACTATTGCTATTGCAGGTGAAATCATAATTGCAAGTCTGAGGGGAGAGGAGATCAAAAACTCACAGATCCATATTTCAGGCATTGCCTACCATTTAAGGCATTAAACTTATTCAATAAGACTAGAGCACCAAGAATATAATCCTGGAAGAGCTAGAGATGTGATTTTCAAACACCTGTCTGACATTTAGAATTTATGAAGAAAATGCAGTATCAATATTCTGGTAAGTCATCACATCAGTAAAGCTGTATGTGAAATTGAAGCTGTTTCATAACTGGGAAAGCAGAATCACACCTCAGCAAAAGGTGTACAGCAGAAAGAGACATGTGGTTCTATATGTATCACTAGCCTGATGACTGAATGTAATCTTCACTCATAGCCACCATTGCCACTTAATGTAAGCAGCTATGAAATCTACTTTTCAAAGTAATCCAGGCTTTTTATTAATCAATTTTATTGACCCTCTATGACAAGTATTCTAAACAAGATTTTCAGAGTTATTAACACTGTACCTATATTCTGCCAAGGTTTTATTTTCAAGTTTACAATGAATATGAAGGAAGTGTCTAGGTTAGTAGAAAAGTGTCTGTCATCTGTATTATTATCAACATTCTTTCACAGTTTCTAGAAACTGACACTTTTATGCACACTGAGATACTTCCTGCACGTTCATTACAAACTTGAAATCAATCCTTGATGGTATAGGGTACAATGTTAGTAGCCCAGAAAAATCTAGTTTAGGATTCTTCTGGTAGAGGGTCAAGAAGAATGATTAATAGAAAGCCTGGATAAACATGAAACCTTTGAAAACCATGAAAAATGAGGCAGCTAAGTGAGATGCTAGTAGTAATCACCCTGATAACATTCCTATCTCTAACCAGGAGCCTATTTCCATCTGTAGCCTTGGTGACAACATTCAGGGGGTGTTAACACAGAGATAAACAGTTTGTAGCATCGATTTTCATAGGATCCGCAAAATGTTTTCACTGATTTAAGATGTTCTTTGTTGATAGAGAAGAGTATGTGAACATATGAAGTCTCAGAAAGACTCTCCTTTGTGTTCTTTTTCTTGTTACTTAATACTCGTGTAAAAAGTAAGGGTTGATAAGCACATCCAATGAAATGAGATCTGAGAAACTATGTCATATCATACATGCATGGATAACAAACATTCAATTTTGTGTAATAAACTGTTATAAAAACAGACTTGAAACATGCTTCAATGTTAATAGCACTACTAAGCTCATGACTGGTACTTCAGTTCATCCCATGAAATAAGCAATGCATTTGTTCCTTTCTATATATCTTTACTATTGTGCAATTTCTTTGTTTTATAAGGTGATGTTTTGATCACTGATCAACCAAAGTCTTGTGATTGTCTGATGTGCTGGTTTTCTTTATAAGAAATAAGTGAATTCTAGGTCAACACCTTTGATTCATGCTGTACTTTATTCATTGCACAGACATATAAGTATGCAGGACCCTGAGATATTGTGTTCAAATAGTCTATGCACTTCTATCAACAGATCTCAATGTTCACTAATAATTTATATTGGTCTATACCATTAATGTTCAGAAACAGTTACTTGAAATAGAAAAATATCATAAAACTGTAGCCACATGTGATACAGTAAGGACATAAGAAAAGTGAATGAAATACTCCACAGCCATACCTGAAAAAATCCAATAAATAGCTAGTACTAATGGAGTTTGTGAAATGGTTATACACCCACAATACTAACACTTAGCCAGCTACATCCTCTCAGTATCCTGAAACAAGCAAAATTTCTAAATCTCAACTATACTGTATGGAACTCATATTTCTTCATCTTCATTGATAACATATTAAATGATAATAATAACTGTCTCATAGATTTAGAATAGTCAACTAATAATATGTTGTTTTTCTTACAAATCTGGGACCTGTACATTACATTTAAAAAAAAATCATGGTGAATCTCTTATTAATTCTTGTGACAGTAGTTTGCAAGTGAAATGCTGGGCTTTAAGTAACATGGTGCAAGTAGCCCATGCTTACCTCCCCATGCAGAATCCTCTGGTTCAGGCAGTGTGGTCTCATCAAATCACGCCTAGTGATGTGACTATAGGGATTATTTTGGTATTACAGACTGTTACTGGAGTTTTGGGCAATTCGTCTCTCCTCTTCAACTATATCTTGCTTTGCTTCAAATCATACAAATTAAAGCACATGGACTGGATTTTGATGCACTTGACTGTATCCAACTTCTTAACTCTCCTATGTAAAGGTATTCCACAAGCAATAGCAGCTTTTGGTTTCCAATGTTTCTTCAATGATTTTGAGTGCAAGCTACTTTCCTACCTTCATAGGGTGGGAAGAGGTGTGTCATTTGGCAGTGCATGCTTATTGAGTGTCTTCCAGGTCATCACCATCAGCCCAGAGGATGCCATTTGGACAATCTTTAAAAAGAAAGCCCACAAGTACATCAACTATTCACTATACTTGACCTGGATTCTATCTCTCCTTTTTAGCATTGTTTCCCTTAAGTATATGTCTGCAACGTTGTGCAATGTTAACGACACAAGTCTTAAGAACTTAGGTTACTGTTCTTCTCTTTCATTTGACAAAACCGCCCAAGTACTGCATGCAGTATATGTGATTATCCCTAGTGCCATCTGCATACTTTTCATGTTATGCTCCAGTGGTTCCATGGTTCTCATTCTGCACAGGCACAAGCAGAGGATGGAACATATGATTAGGAGCAATATTTTACCTAGATCCAGCCATGAGTCCAGAGCAACACAAACCATTCTTCTTCTAGTGAGTACCTTTGTCTGTTTTAATATACTCTCCACAATTTTTACCATTTGTTTAAACTTTTTGGTTAATCTTACTTGGCATCTAGTTAGTATCCATGCAATATTCTCAATGTGTTTCGCTTCTGTAAGCCCCTACTTGCTCATGAGACATGGTTCCACCACATCCATCCATTGCTTTGCTTGGGTAAACTATCAAAAATCCTAAAGGTCTTCCTATGTATTTGAAACCCTTATGGAATTCTCATGCTATTTATCATGCTCAGAGAACTGTCTGCATTCAATAGGAATATATTTTGTATAACAATATTTAGTGCTAAAGGTACATGTATGTTTTTGCTTGTTTGTTTTCATAAAAGAACTAGTCAGCACATATTTACTGAGATTGTGTTTACTACCCACCAAGCAATACCACTGGAAGACAACAGAAAGCATACCAATCACAAGGGATAGAAGGATGCAAATAATTGTGAATTTCAGAAATGGAAATAGTGATAACTACAACAATACCAAATTACTTTCAAACAAAATCCATTTTATGTTAGCTTTTCTTTCTGTGGCCTTAGTGAAAATGAAAAATAAATTGAAATACTTTCATTTTTCTCTCTGTGCTTCATATTAGTGGTGTTACTTTAAATAACCCTGGAACTAATGCACACATTATTTCACTTGAGTCCATGCAGTATGCCTTTGTCTTACTGGAAATGGGGTTTATATTTGGTGGGTACTGATCACCTCATGGTATCTCCCTTATGACATTCATATAGCTTTTTACTATGTGTGGATTTTCACTACTTTCATCTGCTTACATAGTCATGCACATAATCAGAATTTAAAATAAATGCATGCTTCTGTTGAAAACAGTCAAAATCTAAAATAATTGAATGAGTATCAAAAATGTCAAATAAGGACATGACAAGCATAGAGTCCTATCCTAGATTAAATTTTCAGTCACTAGTATGTATCTCTGAAGCATTCAGGAAAGTCAGGCTTCTTATTGTTAATAACATTTCCCAGTAAAAGTACCTTCAGCATGGAGCTTCAACATTGGAAATGACTATTTCATTGTCTATCATGTTTGTCCTTGGTTAGAATTAATATCTCAAAGAAAGGATTGTTGCCTGTACTGTGGCTACAAAGAACTGAATCTGACAACAGCCAAAAAAGTTCAGGTATGGGCTTCAGGGATTTTACCTCTCAATACACAACTATTGGCTATGGATTGTGACCAATTGCTACCCATTGTCTTAATAGCAAAATCTTTAGTATAATAGTTTACCCTAAATTAAAACATACTCTCATGTGGAAAAATGGGGAAGGGTCCCTGGAATCAGGAAGAAGACAATTTGGGGGGGGTCTGGGAAAGAAGATACTTGCAAGGATCACAAGATCTTTTTTTTCCAGTCCTATTAAACAATAAGTCAACTGTTGTGCAGGGTAGCTTCAGCTTCTGTTTCTCTCTTCCTAGAGGAGATTGATAGACAGGTTGGAATGCTTAAAAGCCATTTAAAAAGCTTCAGAATTGCCTTTTCAATCTCTGTGTTTCTGTTGGTGATGTAGTTGCTTTTCTTTTCTTCCTGTTTATGTCTAACATTATACTTAAAGTTTAAACTTACTTTATGAGAATTTGCAAGGCAAAACTGCTACTGTCATGAATGTTCCTAGCTTGTACCTATTTGAAAAAAACTGTCTGCTCTGCTTTTTTAGTAATTATTTTATTTATTTATATCCCAAATGTTGTCCCCTTAAGAGTTCTTCCCATACCCTCTCCTCTTTGCCTCTCAGAGGTTGCCTGACCTCGGTATTCCCCTACCCTATGGCATCAAGTCTCTATATGATTAGGTGTGTACTCTCCCACTGTAGCCAGACACCACACACCTCTGTAAAATATGTTCCAGGGGCCTTGGTCCAGCCGATGTTTGCTTTTAGGTTGCAGCTGAGTCTGGGACTTCGCATAGGCTCAATTTAGTTGACATTGTTGGTCTTCCTATGGAGTTGCCATCACTTTCACTTCCTTTAATCCTTCCCCTAGCTCTTCCATCAGGGTCACTGATCTCATTCCAATGCTTAGCTTTATCTGCATCTGTCTTAGTCAGATGCTCGTTGAGTCTCTCAGGGTACAGCCATGCTAGGCTCCTCTTTTCAAGCAGAACATAGTATCAGTAATACTGTCAGAGATTGGTGCTTGCCCATGTGATGGATCCCACGTTGGTCACTGGTCAGCCATTCCTTCAGTCTCTTTCCATTTTTTCCCTGCAATTCTTTTAGACAGGAACAATGTTGGATTGACAGTTTTGTTGTTTGACAAAAGAATGGGTCACAAGGATAACTGCTATTTCTGCTTTTGTAATTAAGCTTGATGACTCTACTCAGTAAGACAATGGTAAAACCCAAAGGGTAACCATATGGTTTTTTTCCCCTGTATAAGCCCTGGATTGACATGGCACTTAAAGCTGGGTCTTGGGCATGCTCTCAGAATTTGGCCTGATACAAGATGCTGGTCCCTTTACCTGAATAAAAACCTCTTCTTATTATGAACTTTTCTGCTATTATATTTGTGAAACACTGAATGACTCCAGGCCTCAACCCTACAAGCAATCTCTTCTCCATAATCCTTTTAGTGGTCTTAATAAATGTCAATTTGTTTTCCAAGATATATGGATTTTGTGGCTTTGCTTTCTCCCACCTAGGAAGAGCCTATCACAAAATAGTCTTTTTGATGACTATATCCACATACATTGTCACTGGTTACACTTAGTGTGTCACATAAGAAGATAAAATGATATGAACTTGAGAAAACACCCTGTATGGAGAGTCGATATTTATTGAGTACTTTCATTCTACAGCTATTTCCATTCTATTCATGACACAGTCCTAAAACTGTGTTCTGCCATTGGTTCCCTCCCTGAGGTAAATAGATATTCGCTTATGCTTCTTCAGAAACAGTGTCACTATTTAATTGCTTCAGGTTAAAAGGGACTCAACAGAGCATTCTACCATGTCCAAAAAACAATAACACACATTAACCCTTCTAAAATTATCCCACAGAATAGAACACTGTTATAGCTATATTCTGACACCAAAATGAACACATCCCCAATTCACTGAAGGTTTGAATTCTGAGCTGTCTAGTATGAAATAAATTCATCATCAATCTAAAGGGTTTAGGATAATCTTCTGCTGATCATTTAAACAAGGTTGATGAAACACTGGAAGCAATCTGACAATTCCTAGTGCATTCTTGAATTTTTTTTGTATTTTTATTGGGTTCTTATATCTAACAACAGTCCAATCTTTATTCCACCCTAATACCTTTCAACCCCCAAATACTAGGTAGGAGGAATAAAATGTTCGAGGGAAAAGGAGACATAGATCTCTTTAGACTATTTTCTGTTGACTAAGGCCATTGAGTTCTTTAGGGCAAGACCAATCTACATGTTCAAGATAATTTCTTCTCATCTCTTTGCTCACAAACACTTGATAAATTGTAACAACAGCAACCAGGAACAGCAGGGGAGTAGCATCCATCACATGCCCTCTCACCATTCACCGTATTTGCTCCTATGAGTATTTTCTTAGTTCTAAGAAGGGCCAAAACCCCATACTTTTGTCTTTCTTCTTCTTGAGCTTCATGTGCTCTGTGAATTGTATCTTGGATATTCTGAGCTTTTGGGCTAATATCCACTAATTAGTGAGTGAATACTATGTGTTTTCTTTTATGATTGGGTTACCTCACTCAGGATGATATTTTCTATTCCAACCATTTGCCTAAGAATTTCATGAATTCATTATTTTTAATAGCTGAGTAATACCTCATTGTGTAAATGTACCATATTTTCTGTATCCATTTCTCTGTTGAAGGAAATCTGGGTTCTTTTCCACTTCTGGCTACTATAAACAAGGCTGCTATGAACATAGTGGAGCATGTGTCCTTGCTATATGTTGGAGCATCTTTTGGGTATGTGCCCAGGAGTGGCATAACTGGTATAGATGCCAGGAAGTGCATGCTGATAGGAGCCAGATATACCTGTCTCCTGAGATGCTCTGCCAGAATATTACATATACAGAGGTGGATGCTCTGCTCACAGCTAACCATTTAACTGATCATGGAGTCTCCAATGGAGGAAGTAGAGTGAAGACTAAAGGAGCTGAAGGGGCTTGCCGCCCCATGGGGAGAGTGACAATACTAAACAACCAGAGCTCCAGGGTCTAAACCACCAGCCTGAAAACAGGCATGGAGGGCCCATGACTCCAGCTATATATATATAGTGGAGGATGGCCTTGTCAGAGGCATTGGTGAGAGAGGAGGTTCTTGGTCCTGTAAAGACTGGATGCCCCAATGTGAGGGAATTTAGGGGTGGAGAGGGGGAGTGTATGGATGAGTGGGGGCACACCCTCATAGAAGCAGCAGGAGGGGGGATGAGATAAGGGGATTCTCGGGGGGGGGGGGGGAGAATAAGGAAAGGAGATAACATCTGAAATGTAAATAGATAAAATATCCAATTTAAAAAAAGCTTCAAGGGAGCCCCCCCAGACACTGAGCCACCAACCAGGCAGCATACACAAGCTGGTCTGAAGGTATCCAATTGCCTGATCATATCTCAGTGGGAGAAGATTCACCACTTCAAGAGACTTGAGGCACCAGGGAGGGGGTAAGGCCTGACTGGAGGGAACATCCTCTCAGAGACAGAGGGAAAAGGAATAGGATGAATAACTGTGGGAGAGAAGACCTGGGGAGGGATGGCTGGATTGTAAATAAATGACATAATAATGATAGCAAAAAATAATAAACGATGTATTTTAAAAAATAAAAAACTTCAAGGGAAAAAGGTCAGGTAACATACAAAGGCAGACCTATCAGAATTACACCTGACTTCACAACATAAAATCTAAATGCAGAAGGGCCTGGACAGATGTCATGCAGCCTTTGAACACCACAGATGCCAAAATAAATTAATATACCCAACAACACTATCAACAGATTGGGAAAACAAAATACTTCAAGACAAAAATCAAACTTAAACAATCTCTATCCATAAATCCAGCCCTAATGAAAATGTTATAAAGAAAACTACAACCTAAAGAAAGTCAATATACCCAAGAAAACACAGAAAAGCTATTCCATGTCAGAAAAAAAAAACAGGACAAGTAAAGAACACACACACACACACACACACACACACACACTAACACTACAAACATCAAAATA